ACATAAGGATGGAAAGGCTCTGTCTATAAGAGAACATAACCCACCAATTCTCCTGAGTACATGAGAGCCTGGTCTTCTGCATTCCAGAAGTAAAAACAAGTGTATGATAACAAGCATCCTATTTATCCCACACGGGGGCACTGCCAGAGCATGACCCTTTCTTCCCCTCCATCATGGACAGCTGAAGGCTCCTCTCTGCCCTCCTTCTTTTTCTAATTAGTTCTCACATAGCTGTTTAAAAACAGGAATTGCATGTAATGAAGGTGCTCTTCAAGTCCTAGCACATGTTTCTTGTAATACATTTATTAATCAGTTGTGAAAGATCGGGCGTCCCTAATTCTTAGGGTTGCCAAATGATCTGAAGGAACATAAATGCAATAAAATACCATGACATACATTCCGTAGCCATTGTGCAGGATAAGTAAAACAGAGGTAATTTAAAAATGCTAATTAAATCTTCATTTGAAACAGAGAGAGGCTGGAGCAGGTGTCGTGATCTTGTGGCCCACCTGATTCATGGTGAAATGTAATGCCAATTATGTAGCCTCAAACACTCCTGTGTCAGATGAAAACTTTGGGAGCAGAGATATGCATGTGTGACATGTTCATATACATGTTTAAGATTTCTAAATTCCCAGAAGCACTCTGTATGGAGCATAATGTGCAGGGTCACTACAATACCCCTAATGCTTTGTAGTGCCACAGAGCTTAGCCTGTCCTACCCAGTTCCCCTCCCTCGGAACTCAGACATGGAGGGATTTTTGTTTGTTTGCTTAGACATCATGTTTAAGTTATACCAAACATTTGAGAAGGTGTGAAGGGAGCAAAGCCCCCTGGAACAATTCTAAGAGGCCTCTTGGGGTTGTTGTTCCAACAGTACTAAATCTCATTTGTAGCCATGTTTTCTATCTTCGCTGTGTACAAGTTCAGTCCTTCCCCAGGATCAGAGTTGAGGTTATGAGGAAATGTCTTCTTTTGCCAGCAACGTGAACCCTCTTTCTCCTCTACTAACCTCTTGAAGAAGAAACTATATGAGTTGTCATTGCAAGAGAAGAACTGAAACACAGAGAGCAGAGATGAATGAGCAGGGGCAGAGCAGCACAACAAATCATGGTATCACACAATTGGGCACCATTTGGTGACTGAAATCTTGTTCATATAGCTGCGCCACTGGTACACTGATTATGTCATCAGCTGGTGTGATATTTTGTAATTAAAAGCCCCCTGCTTCTATCTCAACTTTTCCAACTCCTGAAACCTCCTTTTCATCTCCTGGAAGCTGTACGATGGGAGGAGGAAATCCTATTTCTCTTTGCAGACAATGTTGTCTGACAGCAGCACTTTTCTGTAATTATTGCTGTAATTATCGATTTGATCTGCTCCGCCGAGCATAATAAATCAACTTTCCGCAAGGCAATTCTAGGAATGGTGACACCCCAAAATTATAACTTTGAGACTGGACTTTGGAAATTTGATCTGCTCCGCCGAGCATAATGAATCAATTTCTGCAAGGCAATTCTAGGAATGGTGACTTTGAGACTGGACTTTGGATCAGTGCCAAATTTGGCACAAATGTAGCAGACAGTTGGCTGTTTTTCTGTGCCTAAATTAGTGAAGTTTGGGCTAAGGGTTTTTGAGTTACTAGTTTTAAATTTTAAATGTCTTCCCCCCCACTGACCACAGTAACCTTATATATATAGCAGTGGTTCCCAAAACTTGGGTTGTCAGATGTTCTTGGACTGCAGCTTCCAGAAATCCTGGCCAGCACCACTAGTGGGGAAGACTTCTTGGAGTTTTAGTCTAAGAATACTGTATCTAGTGGCCTGAGGTTGGGAACCTAAATCTTCAGATTAAAAACAGATCAAATAGATTGAAAGGACCACTGAAAGGGAAAGGTTAGTCCTAGCTGCTTTTTTTAAAATTGGAAAGAATCCAGGTTGCAGGGGCTGGAATACTGATTCTGAAAAAAAAAGCTATTTCAAGGGGGGGGAGCTGTGACTTTCCTATAAACTGCTTAGGAGGATGAATGTTCCTAACAAACTTAGAAACATTGTTTCAGGCTGAAAGCCAGGAAAAGAGGTCTGAACTTTTGATACTGCCAATCTGGGCCAATATTTAAAAGATTTTATTTAAAAATAGAGAATAAATATTTAGAAGCTCACTCATTTAAACTATGAAATTACTGTTTTTTTGCTTTGTGGCTGGGCATGTTAATGTTACCAGAGCTTTGCTGCCTATTCCATTTTGTCACTATACAACTGTTTGGAAATTAAGGGGGGGAACCCTCAAAAGATACTAGGTGCCATCAAGTTGTTCTCTCTTCCTGCTGACTCCTTCCTAGCAACATTGTCTTTTTCATTCAGTTCTGCTCAGATCTTACAAACCTGCAGCGATGACTTTTTTTATTGAATAAACCCATATATACACATATATACACACACATATATATATACACACACACACATATACATATATACATATATACACACACACACACATACATACATATGTTTCTCTTACCAATTATCGCATAACGATGTTTTCCAACAGCTGATCAGCGGTTCTAAAATGGCCGCCAGGTTTAAAAAATGGCCACCCGCTGTGTTGTCGCCCAGATTCCTCGGTTACCGGGCAGCGAAAATGGCGGCCGTATGGAGGATTTTCGCTTAAAGGTGATTTTTTTGCCCATAGGAACGCATTAAACGGGTTTTAATGCATTCCTATGGGATTTTTATTTTCGCATAGCGACAAATCCGCATAGCGACGATTTTTGCTGCATGGATTATCGTCGCTATGCGGGGCACCACTGTACATACATATACATATACATATACATATACATATACATATACATATACAGTACATATACATATACATATACATATATAGGTGTGTGTGTGTATTCTATCTTCCTACTGCCCCAGCTTCCCACAGTACTGCCTTTTCCATTAAGTTCTGCTCAGATCTTGCAGACCAACAGTTGTGGTTTCCTCTATGTGTGGATGTGAATTTACCTTTGATTAGGGTTGTTTTAGATGTGGATTTCTTACTGTGTTGGAGGTTGGATTCAGCGGCCCTTCTGGTCCCTTCCAACTCTGTGATTCTATGCTAAGTAAGTAAGTAAGTAAGTAAGTAAGTAAGTAAGTAAGTAAGTAAGTAAGTAAGTAAGTAAGTAAGTAAGTAAGGAAGGAAGGAAGGAAGGAAGGAAGGAATTCATGGGATGGGGAAAGAATGAGGAAATCCAAAAATCTGGCTAGGTGGTGTTTAGACCACACAACATCCTGTCTAGATCAGTCCCCAAATAGGGATTCCAAGGTTGGATGAGCTCTTCATTTGGATGAATGATTTTTTAAATTAATAAAAGAAAATTTACAAATAACAAAATTAAAAATAAAATACAAATTCAATAGTGACTACACACTATAAACACTGAACTTTCCCCACTCGTGCTGGCATATAGCCTTTCCCCTTCGAAAAGACATGCGCCAAGTATAAATTCCATACATCCTTGAAATCGTTAGATTCTTACCATTCCTCTTCTTATTTTCATTTCACATGTTAACTTATCATTAGTTGCTAAGCTCCACATTGGGATGAATGATTAATGGTCTTTGTACAGATACCAGATAAGGATGTGGTGGCGCTGCAGGCTAAACAGCAGAAGCCTCTGTGCTGCAAGGTCAGAAGACCAGCAGTCGTAAGATCGAATTCACACGATGGAGGGAGCTCCCGTCGCTTGTCCCAGCTCCTGCCAACCTAGCAGTTTGAAAGCATGTAAAATGTGAGTAGATAAATAGGTACCACCTTGGTGGAAAGGTAACGGCATTCCATGTCTAGTTGCGCTGGCCATGTGACCACAGAAACTGTCTTTGGACAAATGCTGCCTCTATGGCTTGGAAACAGGGAGGAGCACCACACCCTAGAGTTGGACACAAATAGAATAAATGTCAAGGGGAAACTTTACCTTTACCTAAGGATACTGGAGGAATGGTCTCGGAGCATTCCTATCAGCAAAGTGACTCCTGCATTCTGAAATCTTTCTCAGCCATTTAGAAGATTCTTTCAGAAAGAAGTCAAATGAGGCTAACAAATATTTAATTTCTTAATGTTGTGCCATCAAGTTGATTCCTAGTTATTGTGACTCAATAACCACACAAGCTGGCTTTTCCCCCACGAAGCACAGTGGGAATCCAACTCCTGACCCACCCCAACTGTTGTCCATGTTGAGTTTGTGGCACTGGCTTAATTCTCCTTTTTTATTGTCAGCTGCCCAAAGAAGAACTTGTTACCAAGTCGGGTAGTATATAAATATTTAAAATATTTATCTTTTACCTCCCTCTTTGGAAGCATATATATCTTGAAGAGGTCCAGTTAATACATATACAATATACAGTATATATCTCTCTCTCTTAGCCTAACCATAGCCATCCTGCTTTCTGTAACTGCTTTGCTGCATAACGGTTAAGGCTTTGCTTACTAGCCAAAAATAGAAAAAGCAGGGAAGCCGCCTACATTCTGTTGCTTGTAAGGAACTGGTCTAATGAGGAGTTTGTCCTTGACTTGATAAGAGACTTGGGTGTCTGACACAGAACCCAGGAAGGATGAATTAGTGGCCATTGCCTAGGCACCTGCAGCCAACCCTTTCCCCCTCCTTCTCCACACCCTTTTGTCTCTCTGTTTTCAGGCTGAACTTATAAAAATGTGTACTCTGTAGTAAAAGGGTGAGCTTTTTCTCTGCATGTTTTTTGCATGTGAAATTTGCACCTATTTGCTTGTTTTCAGCTGAAAATAAACATATATTGGACCTCTCTGCCTCTGGCTTATTGAGTAATGTGTTAGCGACAGGTAAAAACCTGGAATTAGTCCTAGTACTCTTTAATCTCATGAACCTTATCCCTCCCTAAAGTCATATCCATCTCTCTCTCTCTCTTGTGTAGAGTCTGTTCCTTCAGCTCATTCTGTTGTCCCCTCTGCTGATGAGTTTATACTACAGTATGTGATTTCCTGGAAGGGAAACACCCACTTATTAGTCACAGCAAACCTAGGAAAACGAAAGCAAACTTAATTCTCTTCTTACTGCAACCTGCCATGGCTGCTGCCTCAGGGAGTTCCCTCAAGGGCCTCTGCGAGGAAGCCCTTTGCTCCATCTGCCTGGAGTATTTCAAGGATCCTGTCACCATTGAATGTGGCCACAATTTCTGCAGAGCCTGCCTGACCCAGTGCTGGGAAGGGACGGAGGGCGAAGAGGCGTCCTGCCCCCAATGCAGAGCAAAAGTCCGAAGGAACCTGATCCCCAATCGGCAGCTGGCAAACTTAGTGGAACAACTCAGTCACTTGGAAGAGGAGAAGGCAAAAGAATCAAAAAGGCTCTGTAAGGAACACCAGGAGCCCCTGAAACTCTTCTGCCAGGACGACAAAACCGTCATTTGTGTGATTTGCGACAGATCCAAAGAGCACCGAGACCACCAGGTGGTTCCTGTGGAGGAGGCTGCCCAGGAGTACCAGGTAGGAATTCCTGTGGATTTGGGGAAGAGGTTGGGGTTGGGGGTTGGGGGGTGTTCTGAAGGAGGCAGGATATACGGTAGCAGTTTATGTGTTGGCTGCCATGTGATAAAGACAGCTGGCTGGATCGCTCTATGGTTCTGACTGCAGAGCCAGAGCGTGGGAGTGCAATTCTCCACTGGGCTTCCTGGAGGAAGAGTCTACCTGTGTGGCCTTGGGCAAGCTGCTTCCAGAAGAAGGCAATGGTCAACCATTCCTGACTGTTCTCTACCTGGAAAACCCAGAAAAGGGTGACCATACATTAGAAGTGATTTAGTGGCAAATGATGATGATTGTTGCTGTTGTTGTTCAAAACTACCAGGAACAGTCAATCAAAATTATAAAAAGACTAGCTGGCTAAATATAACAGATACAGGTTTTAACCAAAAACCGAAGTACAGTGGTGCCTCACTTAGCGACGTTAATCCATTCCAGGAAAAATGTCGCTAAGTGATTTAATCGCTAAGCGTCGGTAAAATGAGTACCCAGCTTGCTGGGGGGGCAGTGTGTAGCCTGTATAATTAAAAAAAATTGTAAACCGCCCGGAGAGCGCCTGTAGCGCTATGGGGCGGTATGTAAGTCCAATAAATAAATAAATAAATAAATAATTGAGTACATGATCTCAGACTCTGACCATTGTTTTCACGCTCTCCACATTCAGAGAACTTATTTCACATCTATTTAATTGCTAGGAAAGAGAGCTCTGTACCACCATAGGAGGAAAAGTTGAAAATTCACTGAAAGACATGGTTGTATATTTTGAGATATCTGACTGCAGAGCCAGAGCGTGGGAGTGCAATTCCCCACTGGGCTGCCTGGAGGAAGAGTCTACCTGTATGGCCTTGGGCACGCTGCTTCCAGAAGAAGGCAATGGTCAACCATTCCTGACTGTTCTCTACCTGGAAAACCCAGAAAAGGGTGACCGTACATTTAACAGCTGACCGCCGATCAGCTGTTAAAAATGGGCGCTTTGCGGTGATCGCTTCCGTACAATGATCGCAAACGATTTTTCCCCATAGGGAAAACACTCAACGAAAAATATGTTAAATATCAGCACAGTATGTGTGCCCTTCTTCTTCTTCTTCTTCTTCTTCTTCTTCTTCTTCTTCTTCTTCTTCTTCTTCTTCTTCTTCTTCTTCTTCTTCTTCTTCTTCAGTACCAGGAAAAGTCAATTAAATTTATAAAAACATTGACTAGTTTTATAAAGCAGATACAAGTTTTGACCAAAATCCTAAGTATCTGTTAAATACCGATCAGCACAGTATGTACTACACTCTTCCTCATATTTTTGTTGTCGTTGTTCCTGCCGCTGTTTGATAAAGAAGGCAATAGAGAGCCACTCTTCTCCTTCTACACAGGGAGCAGAGCAGGCTTGTTGTTGAGTGTCTTCCCCCAACAGCCTTCAAACTACACATGAACTTCCATTTTCTCTTCAGGAACTGATCACCAATCGCTTGGAGCTTCTGAAGAAAGAGAGGGCAGAAATTGTGACATATAAAGAGGAAACAGTAAATGAAAGCAAACAACTGCTTGTGAGTATAAATGTTACGACAAAGGAAGAAACATTCTTGAACCCACCTGTGTAGAAAAAGTGACCTAAAAGGGAAAAGAAATCAGGGCCACCAGGCATCCCGAAGAGCTATAATTTGGGATGGCATGAAGTGTCATTGGGAGAGCGAACCAAAGACCTTCATCCAGAGGGTCCTTTCACTTCACGAAAGGGGGACCTTCTACAGCTCTGGGGGTTGTCTAGGCTTAGCTCTGGACCTTGCATAGCTGCCTAACCCCAACTCCCCATTTTTATTTTTACTGGAAAACAGCCCTTGAGCCTTCCTGAGAGAAGGGATTTGGCAGGCTGGGGATGTGGGCAGAGAGGTGTGTTGGGGGGCCGAGCACGGAAGGCCCCTCAGTGCAGGGACAGCCTGGCCATCAGGCAGAGTAAGACCAGCGTTTCAGGCGGTGAAGCGTTGAGGGTGGCAGAGAGCCACCATTGACCATCTGCTGCTAGTGCCAGCCACTGCCTCAGTGGCCATCAGCCTCTTCCTCCCCGGCTGCCTCCTGTCCCCTCTTTGGCAATCTGGGTTTGTAAGGCTTTTGGCCTGAGGGTTCTTGAGGAGAAGGCCTGAGTTCTTGGCCTCAGGAGGGGCCCCTTGTGAGAAGGCCAGAGGCCCCTTTGACCGGCACATAGGAAGAGGTTCCCAGATGGAGGACTGTGTTGTCCCCCCCAATGTCCACAAACTGCAAAGTGTTTCCATTCTTGCTGCTTGAAGAAAGGGTGTACAAAGACATCTGGACACACTGACTTTTAGACGTGTGTGATTAAAGGTGATGGCCTGTAGAGCTATCATGTGATCTTGTTTGTTTTGTGTATTTTCTGTTACTTTAATGGTTGACTTTGTTTTTCTACAGTCTTTTATTATGGTTTATAGTTATGAGCGACCAAGAGCGCCCCCTCTAGGAAAGTGAAAATGGGACTGCTAATGTGACAGTAAAAGGGATATAGTGGCGCTGCGGGTAAAACCTCTGAAGCCTCTGTGCTGCAAGGTCAGAAGACTAGCAGCCGTAAGATCAAATCCACGCAACGGAGTGAGCCCCTGTAATTTGTCCCAGCTCCCGCCAACCTAGCGGTTCGAAAGCATGCAAAATACAAAAATGCAAGTACTGTACTTGGTGAGAAGGCAAACCATTCCGTGTCTAATCACATTGGCCATGTGACCACGGAGGATTGTCTGCGGACAAATTCTAGCTGATGGGTTGGAAACGGAGATGAGCACCGCCGCCTGCAGTCGGATACGACTGGACAAATTGTCAAGGGGAACGTTTACCTTTACCTAATGTGTCAGTAGTTACAACAAGAACAAGTCATTTCCTGCCACCAACCTTTAACTGCTCGTGTGTGTGTGTGTGTGTGTGTGTGTGTGTGTGTTCGCCCCTCATAACACCCACCACATAACCAGCCCTTAGGTATTGAATACAGCAAGGTTTTATTAAACTAACAGTGTGAAAAAAAAGGTTATTTATTCCTGGACTTCAACATTTATTGGGTACAATTCTTCATTCTCTCTGTTACCCACCCCTCCCTCTTATACTCTCTCCCCCCCTCTCGCGCAAGGACATGCCCCGTCCTTATGTAGTTTCCTTCCCAACCATTCTTCACAAACATTCCTTGCTCCATTCTCCCTCCCTTCTTCCCAGCATATACAGGATGTATCAGACCAAGGCATTTAAAGTAGTGTCTTTACCATGACTGTCTGTTGGAATATACCCAGACTTCACTTCTCCTCCCCTTGCTCAAACCACCCCTGTGACAAGTCTTTGGACAATATAAATACCGGTTGTTGTGGGGTTTTTTTTGGATCTTTGGCCGTGTTCTGAAGGTTGTTCTTCCTAACGTTTCTCCAGTCTCTGTGGCCAGCATCTTCAGAGGACAGGAGTAGCACTCTGTGCTCTGGTGCAGTTTGTTTGGGAGTTCAGTATTTATGGCTGTGAAATCAGCTTTTGGATAAATACCATCCAGTGTAATGAATTCCACATTCATAGATACTGTGAAAATGTCGCCTTCTGCCATACACTTCCTTTTCTGCCCTTTCTGCCTCCTTGCTGCAGAAACAAACAAAAGCCGAGATGGAAAAGATGAAAGCAGAATTTAAGAAACTCCGGCAGTTTTTGGAAGAACAGGAGAAGCTTTTAATGGTCCAGATGGAAGAGGTGGAGAAAGAAATAGCAAGGAAAAGGGATGAGCACCTGGCCAGGCTCTCCGAGGAGCTCTCCTCCCTTGGAGGTCTCATCCAGGAGATGGAGCAAAAGCACCAGCGACCCCCGGGGGAACTCCTGCAGGTAGGACTAGCGGAAATAGAGCAGACTGCTCTTGAGGGGGAAACTGGATCCAAAACTCTCGTGCAGTTCTACCTACACACAGATTGCAAAGTTGAGGTTTGGGAACTCCAGGCTAGCAGGTGCCGAAATATCAAGGTGAGATAAAAGAATAAGGAGTTTTCCCTCAGTGTAGACAAGCCTTTCACTCTGTGTAATATGGATGCAACTTTCATTTCTCAAAATGCTTCATGACCAAATAAGGTCCTGCTCCTGCCCCTTTCATGAGCTTTCTAGAAACATCTGGTTGGCCACTTCCGGGAAAGGAACGCTGGTCCAGATGGTCTTGCCAAGCAAGACTTTTCTCATCGTTGGCTTCTGGGCTGGAAACCTGGCCATCAATGGCACCTCCCTCAGGTTAGAAAGTTACGGTATAATAATAATTATTATTTATTAGACTTATATGCCACCCATCTAGACAATGTCTACTCTGGGCGGCTCACAACAAATAGAATAAAAACAATGGTAATATGGCAACAATTTTATAACAATTTCACAACAATAAATAGTCTTTCAAGATGGAAATTAAAAAGATAAATTAAGCGTGTACCGGTACCTTCTGAGGTAATGTTCGTGCCATGAAAGAGCGTAATTCTGCATAGAAAATAGACTGAGATGGTGGCGAAAGAAGAAACGCTCGCTCCCTCCCAGCATGGCCCTTAAATTCTAAAATTCTCCTCTGTTGATATACCCTTTGACTCCTTTTCCCTGTGAGAGACCAGGACCCAGTTAAAGGCTTCCTTCGACTTCACTGTGGGAGTCTCTGTCTTCTCCTCAGTGCCTGATTGGAGTGGACTCCTTGTGGCAGAAGGAAGGCCAGTGGGCCTCGTTGCATTGTGATGATGGCACTAAACTCCCTCTTTCTGTTTCTCTTTTTCTCCCCAAGGACGTTGGAAGCATCCTGCAGAGGTAAGCGTATCTTCTTGTTTCTGTTAGTGCTTCACAATGCTGGGAAGGGTCTGTACAGAAGATCATGTAATCCTCCAGTCTCCTGGTACAACAATCTTTGCCTTTCCAGATTTCTGTTCACAGCTTTGCAGTTCTGAGATGATGAAGATGATGTTGAAAAAATTGTCATGTTTTTGAACTTACAGCACCCCTGTTTTTCTACCCTGGATATTAGCAAACCAGTTTATTAATAGCATTATTAGTTAATTAATAGCTTTATATTACTAATACTACTCAATAAAATGTGGCGGAGTACAGTATTATGTTCTTCATAGCAAACCAGGACGGTAAAAGATAACGCTAATTACAAAGGCTGCCATCATGTGTAGAATACGAGTACAGTGGGGTCTCGACTTACGAACAGCTCGACATACGAACGTTTCGACTTACGAACCGCTCTCATAGGAATATATGGACTCGACTTACGAACTTAAGATTCGAGTTACGAACTCTTTTTTTCCCTTTTTTTAAAAGCTCAGTCATCTTAGGTTAAAAGGAAAAAAGAAAAAAATTATCCCCCTCTAGTGGCAGAAGGCGGAATAGCAGCTTCCCATTAGTTTCTATGGACGAAAAGAGCAGATACGGATTAAATGGTTTTCAATGCATTCCTATGGGAAATGCAGATTCGACTTAAGAACTTTTCAACTTGAGAACTGCCTTCCAATACGGATTAAGTTCGTAAGTCGAGACCCCACTGTATAGTATCTTTAGGAGCAGGAGATGCAGGTGTGCTATCTCCACAGCAAGATTTCCTGTTGTTTGTTATAAGTATGTTGTTGTTGTTTAGTCATTTAGTCGTCTCCGACTCTTCGTGACCGTATGGATCAGAGCACGCCAGGCCCTCCTGTCTTCCACTGCCTCCGGGAGTTGCGTCAAATTCATTCTGGTAGCTTCGATTACACTGTCCAACCATCTCGTCCTCTGTCGTCCCCTTCTCCTCTTGCCTTCTCACACTTTCCCAACATCAGGGTCTTTTCCAGGGAGTCTTCTCTTCTCATGAGATGGCCAAAATATTGGAGCATCAGCTTCAGGATCTGTCCTTCCAGTGAGCACTTGGAGTTGATTTTCTTCAGAATGGATAGGTTTGTTCTCTTTGCAGTCCAGGGGACTCTCAAGATTCTCCTCCAGCACCACAATTCAAAGGCATCAATTCTTCAGCAGTCAGCTTTCTTTATGTTCCAGCTCTCACTTCCATACATCACTATAGGAAAAACCATAGCTTTGACTATTCGGACTTTTGTTGGCAAGGTGATGTCTCTGCTTTTTAA